TTTCAAATGTCCCATTTGCAATTATGCCTGTCGCCGAAGAGATGCTCTGGCTGGACATCTGCGCACACATGCAGGTAAATCAGTGAGTTTTAAGTACAATACAACAGTATCTAACAAATCAAACATATGCCATGAAGAGATTTTTTTTATAGATGTACCGATTCAGTTATTGAACCTGATGGATTTAGTTGTTACATAACAATATTATTCCTTAGTGTGATGAGGTATAATGCATGAAACAACAAGAAGTGGATATTTATTAGAACAATCCATTTCCCCCAACCGTGAAGCTCAGAGGAAATAGGTCTTTACCAGAATCTACTGTACACATGACAATATGACATTTAACAGTTTGTGAAAACAGGAAATCCTGCTTTCAATTTGTCAACACATTCAACAGGTGTTTTCATAAACCCCTGGTACAGTAGGTCTTCTCCGAGTCTTCTCCGCGGGTCTAAGAGGTTCATTTTCAAAGAAAAGATTTTTGCAAACTGGATTTCAGCGAATTGACGTCACGACCGTCCGATGGCTTACTAAGAGGAAACATTGCGGTGAAGGGTTAGGAGTTTTTTTTGTCGTCATTGGCAAGCAACATAGTATAATTTGCCAATCAATGGGGAAATCCACTCTCTCAAACCGAGCTAATAATAAGTAATTCTTTTGATAAAAATCCCATTTTGTCTTTCTCGGAAATCAATTAATATTTTTTCTCTGAATTGCAGTTTCTTCTCCAACGGTGGGAAAACCTTTCAAGTGCAGCTACTGTAGTCGCAGCTATAAACAACGAAACACACTGGACGAACATCTAGAGCGGTGCCATAGTTATCTGAAGAGTCTGGACCACCAGACTGCAGTCAACTCCCAAACAGCACAGGGTAATATATCACACAAACATTAAACTCACTAACTTTTATAGACAATAAGCCTGTAAGTTCCTGCATGATTGTAAATGCAAATCGACTGAATAAAGCAAGTTTAGCATATTTATACACATAATGAGTTAGTTGCTATATTGATGACTATGGGGCTTTCTGTTTGCAGGTGAAGAGTCGCTAAATATGGAGACAATTTCTAAACCTGTGCTCCAGCCATCCAATGAAAAAATCCAGTTTGTGGATAGACTGGCTATTAGCATCACCAAACGCAAGAGATCAACACCACAGAAGTTTTTGGGTGAGTTTTTTGTTTTTGTTTTTCGTATAGAAATCTATTTATAACCTATTACACATATACATTCTACTTTTAATTTAATGTATGCTATAATAATAATTATATATATTCTGTTTGATGTGCTAAGAATGTACGAGATATAATAAGAACCTGTTGCCAGTTTGGAGACAGTTGGTCCATGCTGGAGCAGATGAAGTCAGTCCAAGAGACTCTCCATCTTAATTGTTATTCATTATGGATATCCTTTTCATAGGTGAAAAGCACATGCACCTCGACCTACCTGAAGCACCTTATGAATTGTCCTCTGGCTCTGAGAAGGAGGGGGACCTCATGAGCTCTCAGCCTGCTGGGGACACTGCTGGGTTGGCTGGTTCACACCATCGAGGTGGCAGGGGTAAAGGGGAGAACCACGAGCCATCTGCACTGTCTCAGCTCCATCCTGCCTTCCTGTCAGAGCTACGCACAGTTATGGGCTCCATCAACAGCAACGTGACTCCTCAGGGCCCCCGAGCCCATGTTGGAGGTGGGCCGACAACAATGTCTCTTGGCATGGCTGGGCGGGAGGCAGGTGAAGGCCGCGATGACCAACCTTCAGCCCATAGCCACACCACCTCGCCCAATGGCTGCCCCGACTCTACAGACACAGAGAGCACAGCAGAAGAGCAGAGCACAAGGGCTACAGCCCCAACAAGTACCTCCAACAACCACCACCTCCACTACCAAACCCTAGCACTGCCCCGCAGCCATCCAACTTCCAGTCCCAGCCAGGCCAAAGACTTGGACCAAGAGTGGGAGAGAGCGTGTCCTGTACCGCCCTCCATAGTAAAGAGGAGCCCTAGCTCACTCCTTTCTTCCAGGGAGACTGTGCAGGTGTTAGACAGGGATAGCCGTCCTGTGCGCTCCTTCCACTGCCAGCACTGTCGCATCCTCTTCCTGGACCATGTCATGTTCACCATCCACATGGGTTGTCACGGCTTCCACCAACCCTTTGAGTGCAACATCTGTGGCCACCGCAGCCAGGACCGCTACGAGTTCTCATCTCACATCAGCCGTGGAGAGCACCAGGTCGGCTGAGGAGAAGTGCTAGTGGTCGGATGAGGATAGGTGGCTGCTGCTCTCTAAAGTTTGTGGGCTCATGTTTGTTCTGCACCAGATAAGTTGCTTTAAATCCCAAGTGTAAGTAAAAAGATTTGTGGTTTTATTGTGAGAATATTTATTAAACTAAAGCAGACGCGAGTGAAAAATCTTTTCACCGCAGCATTTAAAGTTTAGTGGAGGCAAATTACATTCTATGATTGATTGCACTCCCATATCAAATCATCTAGCAAAACTACTGTTTTTGCTTCAAAAGTGCCTTTTTTGGGGATTTCCTCTTAACTTAAAAAAAAAACTGAAGGGGGACTGGTGCTTAAAAATCTTGACTAGCCATCTTTTGCTAAGTGATTTAGTTAGCACTTTTGAGAGGTCACATGCACAGGCAGTTAAGAAAAGCATGTACATTTTAAGAATTATATTTGGTATGCTTAGTATGTACTAAGAGCTTTGTTTTTGTGGTTGAAGAGGGTATTTTGTGTAGTGTGTCAGGTAAGCTTAATATGCACTGAGAGCTTTGTGCCTCTGGGTTCGGGAGGAGCTTTTGTCACAGACGAAGCACAGAAATGGATTGCCTTAACTCCTACAGCAGTACGCTGCGGTAGGAATACATTGTTTACAGCGAGGTTCAACAGTGTGTGAAGTCACCTCAGAAGAGAGAATATTTGCAGCTGCACAGTGAGACTATCAGGACAAAGCAAAATCATGAAGGAAGTGAACTTGAAAGCATTCACCTGAGGGTGAAACGGGTGTTCAGGTTTAAAATAGTTTTTTGGATTTTAAAGTGAGCCTTAGAATACTGGTGCAGATCAGACCATGAGCCATGTAGTGTACAGTAAGAGCCTGACTGAGATGCCCCAGGGTGCTATACCTACACGGGATTGCACTTCTAGGTTCCCTGCTTATATATGAACATCTTTGCCGAAGCACTTGATGGCTTTACAAATTGTTTTCTGTGATTGTTCTACTGCACTGATAAATCGCATAATACTCACAATAATTGATCCATCTAATTTGCAACACCAGTGTATTTTTAACGGAGCCGGCCTTCTACAGAATCCCCACAGCATTGCACTGGTTCTGCGGTCTACACTCAAGTTTGCTGCAATTCTTTTGTGGTTTTGCACTCAGCGGTTTAGGCTGAGCTTTTAAACTGTTTGCATAATGTAAGTGAATTAACAAATGAATTATTTAAAAATGAATTAACACAATCAGTTTGGATCTGTTCAGTTATCACTTGTGATTATCTATTCAGTGTTGTTTGTTTCAGCCTTGGTGTATTTAATCAGCTATATTCCAAATCTTATCCAGCATATTCCTCAAGTCCATGAAATGTTACCTCCTGCTTCTTTATAGCACCCAAAAACCTTATTGCTACAGTATGGTGAGTTATCTGATAATGTTAATATTGGGAACATGAATGAGACCAAACTCAGTATTCTTACTTGTTATTGTGGGTTTGCTGCTTCATAGTTTAACTTAATTTCCTTTAATCGCAGGCAAAAATATACTTGAAACTGTTTGAGAAAAAAGTTAATCTAAAAATGCACTTGGTTTGATAAGTAGAGAAGTGTGTGTGAATGGAATATAGCATGTGTGCTTGTCATTTTCTGCTTTTCCCTGAATTGTGAATTATTTTTGAAATGTGAAGTAATTTTAAGAAGTGAAAATGAGGCATGGGATTTTGTCTCCTTGTGTGGACTTTTAAATGTTATACGATATTTTGTGAATGATGTAACATGACAAAACACTTTACCTCAAAAGTTAAAGATGTACAACTGCCTCATTACTGTATTTCAAAAAGTCATGTTGCTTTCCAAGATGTTCTTGCAGTTACAAATGCGTGCCCCTCGATATTCTCAAAAGTTTTTACTGTCAATAAAGTTAAGTTTATTGTAAAAGTAATTTTCTCTAGTTTGACTATGGTGGCAACATTACGAGTTTCTCATCGAGTTTCTCCTGTGTGACAATACAAAAAATAAACAGACTAGGTATTTAAGATATATTGAAGTATTTATTTCACAAAATAACCATTTTAAAATTCCACATCAGACAGGATGTGCTGGCACTCACTGTGTTTTGCTCTATAGATAAACTGATCAGACACTATTCCTTTAACTGTGCACTAGCAAGGAACGGCAGGATCTTTTAATTAACAATTACAGTTGAGTACAAATATTCACACCTTTAGATTTTTAATTTATACAGCCACGTCAGTGTCAGACATTAGGATGTCAAGAATTGACATGCATGATCTAGGTAGCTGCCAATAATGTGTATGGTATATTTAGTTAAGAATAAAAAGAAAAAAAAGAGAAAGATTTATATTATATCACATTAATACCTATGAAACACTGGAGACTAAAACCCCATAATTATAACAGTTGGAGCAAATATTCCACAATTATTTAACAAAAGTTGCACAAAGTCCGAGCTATTAGTATCTGCTTCACATACTATGTATAATTTCAACAATTTGAACTTAAAAATGATAATTTATGGGTCTACTACAGTAAGGGATCCCATGATTGAACAGAGCTCAATTTAGTTGCTGAAACATTATTTAAAAACTCACGTATTATAACAATATAAAGTGTCACTTTAATAAATCTGAAATAGTATTTAACATTTTTGCACTACATATTTTGCACAAACAGAGCTAACATGAAACTTTTACTGCTTTACAGCATGTGCAAAAATCACTGCATGTACAAACGATTAACTATATAGCTATATATAGTGTGGAAGACTGTTTCCTTTTTAAAAAGAACTGATTGTATTTGAATTTTAACTAATAAGCCAATCATTTGTCTATATAAAAGCCAAATATGTCTCTACAGTGTATTCTTTCCTTGCACACACTTAGCAAGGCGCAGACCTTCAGAGCAGCCATCACCACCCTCATGAAGGCCAGAACGCGTGGGATACGAGTTCGACACAAACTGTCGCTTGATTTTTTTTAAACTAGCACCCTTGATGTAAACAGCTCACAAAAACACCTCATTTACATCCCCACCCAATGCACTGCTTCTGTCTGGGTGTACCATTTTTCAGTCTGGCTGTGACTGACTTTATAAACATGTTAACATTTCCATAGGGTGAGAGTAGTCTGCTGTGAAACAATGCACACAAGATGAAACATTTCATTTTGAATCATGAAAGCTAATTTGAGGATTGTTTGGCACAGCTTGATAAACGTGTTGTGGTATGTGCAGCTTTTACAATTCTGAGGAAATAATCTGCTTGCAATCCCTGTGTGAATAAACTGTGAACAGTTACAAAGAACTGGCTACCACCTGTTCTCAACAGGAAGCTTCAGAAGGCATGCTCCTCTGATTGATTCAATAATTTGTTTGTTTTTGAACATTTTACCCAATTCACTATCACTACTACACATCACAAACACACTGCATGTTATTGAAGCACTTTATATTTTGTGAATGCATTTTTCCTTTTTTAAATGTAGCCAGAGGTTTCCATTTATTTATGTATGATATAAAAATCTATTTTTTAGAGAGATTGTTGGTGTTACGTTCAGGTTGTTTCCTGCAGTTGAAAGCTAAGACTTCTTTGAAAAGTCTTCCATCCGATGCGCTCAAATGTTAGTGTGACAGCTGAGAATAAAAGTTGGGTGACAAACACAAGCAATCATGATCATGATGAAAAAGATAACACATATCTTGTAGTTTCTTGCATTCAAATGTTTGGGATGATGGAACTTTTCACCAACCCAGAAGCTCAACTACGGTACATTACCACACAAAGACAATAACTTTGATTATAGGGCATTTTCTGTGATCAATTACCTATCAAGCAAATTAAAGTATGTGTTGAAACAATTAGTCAATTAATCGATTAGTCAAACATTCACTGTCGTCCAATGTTAAAATGTGCTGCTTCTCCCTGGTTTACGTCACTGTATATTGAATATATTTGGGTTTTGGACTCCTGGTCGGACACAACAAGAATTCTGTAGATGTCATCTCAATTTTTTTTTATTAAGTGGTTGATCAAGAAATTATAGATGGATTCATCAATAACGGAAATAACTGTTGGTTGCAGCTCTCAGTAAAATGACATGCTGTCGTCTAGACATTTGTAATTAATGGGCTGAATATGCAAAAACAGCAGCATGGCCCTATAATCTCTAAACTTAACTGCATGCAATCAAGCTGTTTAGTTTTTTATCTTTATTTCTGATAAGAAAATTAATAGAGATTTCGATGAATAAAGGAAGCCAAGTGTTTCTGTGTCATCTACTTTGATACACTGTGACTGCGTGTAAAAATACAAGTCAGAGTCCTGCATTGAAAATGTTACTTACACCTACTACAGGGAGTTCTTAACTGTCTCATTTTCATACTGATGCCTCTATATGACCTAAATAAGCACACAAGACCAACAGCGAGAAGACTGTCTATTTCAATGCCTTAGTTATTTTTACTGCCTGCCACTGGGTCAAATGTGGTTGGTTTCCCCTTGAAAACAACGAAACAAGGCAGTGGAAACACCACCGCCAGAATCAAGTTCCTCAACGCAGAAAAATGTCTCCTGTGACTGTTAAACTATTATATATCATTTAATACTCAGCAGAATTTCACTGTTGTTGGTTGAGGGAGAACAAATTTTAAACAATTCACCACAACTAATGATTTATTTTCATTATGGATTAATTTGCTGATTATTTTCTCCGTTAATCACTTTATTGCTTTGTAAAAACATCTGAAAATAGTGAGCAATGCCAATCACAGCTTCACAATGCTGGTTTTCTCCAACCAAAATAAATTAAAATAATTAAAAAGAAAAAGAAATGTTTTTGCAATTAAAAAGATGTCAATTAACTAAATAGTTGTCAAATAATTAGCTGCCAATCAATTAATTGATTAATTGTTTAATTTATAAGAAAGCATCATATTTTTCTTTTCTTTTACAGTTTACTTTTTCTATGCAAAAATCCTTATTTGCAAAGTAACTAGTAACTAAA